AGTGGAAGCAAAAGTGTGGCAGAGAGAGAGAAAAAAAACCTGTGTGTAATAAGACTAGGATGGTGTGCCTGAAATAATTTCTGAACAAAAACATGGGGAAGTGGAGGAAGGAATCTGATGGATAAGGTCAGGGCTGGGAGCTTTACTGCATATGGAAGTCCGAGCCCTGAAAGGCTCTGGAGCTTTGCTTGATCAGTCAGCGTGAAGGTGGTTTCCAGGATGCAAGGAGAGCCCAATGAAGCCCCTTACAATAAATGCTAATAAAGTGCTGGGACTTGGAATCAGGGATCAGCAGCAAGTTTGGAAAGGAGAGGTAAGACATTGAAGAGTTGGTAACCAATGTGCTGTTGAGAAGGTAAGCAAGAGAAAGTTAGTTACAGGGGGGAAAGAATGAAAATTTCTTCCAAAAGTTATTCTAGAAGGGTCATTCATTAGAGTAGAACTGATAAAGATATTACCTAAAACCTTTCAGAAGTTGTATCAAAACCCAAACTCCTTAGCATCCCTTAAAAGCCCTCCATGGGACCTCCTCCTAATTCTGAAGCCTCAGTTTGCCTGTCATAACAACTAGCAGGTTCCAGAATAGACCAGTCCTCTTGCTCACAACCTATCTGAAAAAATACTCTGCTTCTCAGGATTCAGTTCTGGTCTGACCCTTTTATAGTCTTCCCTGCCTCCTCCCCCAGACAGAGGCAAGCTCAGCCTTTCCTTTGCACGCAGTATGCCTCTATCCCAGAGGAAAAGCAGCGAGTACAGTTTGACTCACCAGAAACAGTCTGGTTGAAGGTGGAGCAGGGCGGTGAATCACTCATTGGCGGGGGGTGGAGAGGACCCCAGGACTCCTGCTGTCTTCCTCCCTGACAATGTGAACTGCTCTCTTACCTCGCAAAGGGCCCGGTGTCCACCTTGAGCTGACTAGGTATTGCTGGCCGAGGCCTTTTGGAACCTGGAGAAGTCAGTTGTCCAGGCTACTCACTTAGCATAGCCCTGAGTTTCTTCCTCCCATCTCAGGAGGTGCAGCTGCCCGTGGACAGGCTCCTGACAGATGGGCCCGTTCCGAAAGAACCCGAGCCCCTGGTCATCAGCGAAGTCTTGCATCAAGTGACCCCAGTCTTCAGACAGCTCCTTCATGCCAACTGGCCAGAGAAGGGAAAAGGAGACCAAGGTCACTATACCTCTGAGGAAACAGGGTACAGTGCCTCGAGATTACCACCTCCAAGAGCTCTCACGGCGGAGACAGGGCAGCTAGTGGATCTGTACAAGGTGCTGGGGAGCAGGAGCCCCAACTCAAAGCCAGGAAACCCAGCAAGCCCCTCGCGGGTCCTCCCAGGCGACTACCTTCCCACCCAGGAGGGCTACTTACCCTCCAATATAGATTACCTCCCTGCACACGAGGCTCCTGGAACTGAGCCCCCGGAAGAACTGGAGCCTCAGCACATCTCCCTTTCTGTGTTCCCCTCAAGTACCCTGCAACCACTCCCCTTCTCCTGTGGTGAGAAGCTGACTTTGGATCGGTTAAAGATGGGGTGCGGTTCCCTCATGCTTTGAGTGAAGCTTGAAACTTGGAAAGTTGAAGTGCTCCCAACCAGCGCAGCAGGCCCATCGACCCAGCCCTCTGCTCGCTGTCATCACCTCTGGTGCTACCATTAGGTCTGGTTGCAGCTAGAGGGCAGTCAAGCCAGCTCAGGGTGATCTCAGGAACTGTAAGTTGGCTGCAACCCAGATACTTCCACCTGGCCTTCTCTAGAGGCTTGATATTACATCGTGGACTTACAGACTCCAGACTAAGTTCCCACAATTTCCTTGGCTTTGCTGCAGAGTGGAAACCAAAGCTCTTACTGGCAATGGCATATAGTCCTGAGGACTGTTCACACAACTGTTTATAAAGCAGCTACTACATACCAGGTCTTATGTCTCACCGGCCTATCTGCACTGTTCAATACTGGCTGTTGACTCTTTGGGATGTGGCAAATATGACTGAAGAACTGAATTTTGATTGTAATTATGTCACACATGGCTAATGGCTACTGTATTCAGCACAACTACAGATAATGGACACATTGGTGAGAATTACAGGGGGAGCCTCAGCCTAGTTTTGCAATTGACATAAAAGACCCTGATAAACACCAATATAAAAGGATTTCCAAGATGGTTCTGTCCTTTTTTGTGGAGGCCTAAGAATGCATTTTTTCCCCCTAGCTTTGCTGGTTAGGTTTGTTTTGCCTTCATCATGCAGTGAATCCAGAGCAGCCTGATGGTGGACCCACCTTAGGACCCTGAGCAAGCGGCCTCCCCTCTAACATCAGGTGTCTTGAAAGGGAGTGGGCTGCCACACTCCTGTCATCTTTCCTGCTTTCCTTCTTGGGGAAAACTGCACTGGTCCTCAGAGTTCTTTTCCTCAGCACAAATTTGGAACATGACCCATACTTTACTGTTAGATCTGTGACCCTGGCCTGTCACCTCCCCTTGCCCATCACTGCCTCTATGCAGTCACTGTAGGCATTTCTGTTAAGCTGATGGTCCAATTGCTGATAGTAACTTTTAGGGCCAAGACTTTTTTTTCTTAAATCTCTGTCAAGCTTGGGACCTACCTCTTACCCCCATCCCACCCACTGGAACTGAGGCATGTGTCCCTCAGAGCTTCAGCAATTGAAGTAACAAACATTGCTCTGTTTGTTCATGTTGTTAGACATGTCTAACTCGTCACCCATGCTCTTGCCATTCCAGACTTAACATATTTTCTCCCAGGCTTTTCCTTCCTTACATCTCTGTTCAACTCTCTTTAGCCGCTGTGTGTAGTCCCTTGCATCTCAGCAGCTCCATAATGGCTTGCTTGCAACCAGGATGTGGTGCCTCATTTATCTGCAATGGGCCAAGACAAGGATACCTCCTTAGAAGGTGGCCAACCTATCACCTCTTGACAACGGAAGCCAACTTTTCTTTCTTGCAATACTTGTTTTACAATCCTTGATCTTCTTTTGATTACCTTTCCATCTTAAGTCACTCTGCCCTTCTCCACTTGATCCCAAAGATAGCTAGCTCCCAGTCTTCCTTACACCTTCATCTCCCCTGCCCCCCCACATCCTTTCTGTTCCCTTAAAACCCCAGGGGATAATGCAGTCCTCATTTGTTTCCTAAAAAAGTGAAAATAAGTATTAAACAGGGAGACTTCTCAGACTCCTAAAGGCTTCTCCTTCTAAGGATGCAGAGGCCTCCTCAGTGCGCCCCTAGCATGATGCCTATAGTCTACTTCCTCTGGACTGTAAATAACTTGAAGGTGGGAACCATGCAGTCTTCTCCAGCACCATACCAGGTACATGATAGGCTATCAATAAAAAGTAAGAGATGTCACCGGCCACACTTTGTTTTCCTTCTGTCCCAGCAGCCAGTCTAGCTGTGTGTGCTTCCTCTTTATTGGGACAACTGAGTTTGCATTTGTTGATCCCCAATGCCCCCTTCTGCCTTGCTGTCCACTGGCAGTACTGCTGTTACACGTGTAGCAGAATTTAAAAACATATCTGAGGAAGACATTGGCTGCTCACATTACCAGAGAAAATGTCCTCTTCCCATGAATGACAGAGGATGGGTAACCCTGTTCTGTCCTTGCACTAAGTAGTTTCACACACCCCTTTTCTGTCCACACAAAATCCCAAGTCAGGTGGCTTAATTTACCAGGACTAGGTAGAGCTCACCAAGATCCATACGACCAGTTTCATTCCTCAAGAAAATCAGCAATGATTTAAATCCTCACTCCCAATATACATCCAAAGCCAATCCAGGAATTTCTGCTCTATTCAAACACATTACATTTCTTTGTTTTCTCTCTGTGACTGAAATATTATAAAGTCCAAGTTCACATGTACTGGATACATGGGACTCTCCACCACTAATCCTTGTGCAGAAATCCAACTCTTTGAATTGTTCCTTGAAAGGGGCCTTTCCTAGGAGGCAGAGATTCTATTTCCTGGGCTTGTCTTAAACAAACTAGTGCTATCTAGTTCTTTTCTTTTACTGTCTTTCCCCCTCCACCCTGTCCCAATTTCCCAGTTTCCATTAATAGCCTACAGCTGCAACTTGCCAATGCCTGAGGCCAGTGAAAAGATGCCAAGCTAGGCATTCTATTCCAGTGAATCCGTTTGATTCTTGGTTTTTCTGAAACTTCTTCCTTCACATGACACACTTGTCGTGTAGGAGCTCTGCTTTTCTCTAATGTGCAGGACTCATGGATGTTCACATTACCCAAGCTTTATGATAGGTGAATCCTCAAACTACTCTCTAGAACAGGAGTGGGGAATGTCCAGCCCCATGGACTGTATAAGGCTCAGGAAATCATTTGGTCTGGCCCTGCCCAGGCATTAAGGGTAAGTTAATTAAATGTTTGGCCGAATATAGCAGGCCAATCTTCAAGTTGATAATTTTGCTTGGCCTCCAAACGATGTTATAAATATCCAAATAGCCCTTGTCAGAAAAAAGGTTCCCCACCCCTGCTCTAGAATAAAAGATCAGAAAGGTCTCTTCTCCGCGCCCCCCCCCCCCCCAAAGATAATTCAATCAATTGGCTAATGGACAACTAAAGAAACAAGTCATATCTTTACATCAGCCTATTCTGGAATAAATTTCCAATTAAAAATTTGCAAAATCCCCACACACCAAGTTAGATAAAAAAAATATTTGCAACATGTGCCAAAAATAACATTCTTACAGATCATTTTGAAAAAAGCCAATACTTCAAAGAAAATAGATTAAGAAACAGAAAACATTAAATGCTCAACAAGCATTAAGAAAACAATTACCTGCAATCAAATAAATTAAAATTGAACACCACTTTCCACTTACCAAATTAGCAAGATGTAAGGAATAACCAGAAACTGGGTTGTTTGTAACCAGGTATGCTAGCTAGCTTCTTTCTGGAGGCTGGGCAGTATTTTTTTTAATGCTTTTATTCATTTCAGACAGGAAGGGAGAGGGGAGAAAAATATCGATGAAAATCGATTGGCTGCTTCTTGCACACTGCCTACTGGGGATTGAGCCTGCAACCCAGGCATGTGCCCTGACCTCCTGGTTTATTGGTCGACGTTTAACCAGACACAAAGGCCAGGCTGGGCAATATTTTTTAAAATTTGAATACACAACTCCACTCCTACAAATGTAATCTAAAGAACAGATTTTATCAATAACAAATTGAATAAGACTTATCACAGCATTGATTAAACCAGAAGGGCCTGTTAGTAGGAACTTGGCTAAATCATCTATACAAATCCATTACCCCTATTTCATTATGCTCTGAATAAGAAAAATGCTAACTAAACTAAAATGCCTCAATTTCTATGGTGCACGAGCCCCTAACCCTCTGAAATTGGAATGGATCTTAGAATTGAAAAGCATACTATGCAATCTTTCAAAAAGTTTAACAATATTTGACATAGAAATGGTCAGCTGCAAAAAAATGAACAGAAGGATCACATCATCTTTATAAATCAATGCAAAAGTTTTTGAAATATACACAAAAATGGTAATAATGGTTTCTAGCCATAGGTTTTTAAATTACACTTCTGCATTCTTTTCATTAAATACTTACTCTGGTAATTGGATAGTCAACTAAATATAACCAATCTTCCCCCCCAAAGACCTGACACAAGGGGTCGAGACACTACCAACCACTTTCTTTATGATCCATCTCTCTTTCATCCTCCACCTGACACCTTCACTGACCTTTAACTCGCCTGTCAGTTGGTAGAAAATTCATTATGACACCCTAGGTGAGAGTGGGGATTGGGGATGTTAAGGTAATAACTGAAGCAATGCATCTTTGAAATACAAAGTTTATATAACAAGCCAAATATTGCCAAATTCCCACTCAACATATAACACAGTATATTCGTTCCTTGGTATCCTCCGTGGTTTGGTTCAGGACCACCCCTGCTCAGATACCAACATTGTTGAATGCTCAAGTCCCTTGTACAATGTCAGCAACAATGTATTTTTTTTTTGAATACTTTTAATCCTCAGTTGAATCTGTGGATCTGGAACCATGGATAGAGGGGATCATATTCAGTACATGCTGTTTTTAAGGTATGTAACTCAGTTCTCACCATGGCTGGTTTAAGGTAGACCACTATACAGAAAAAGAAACTGAAATACAATTAGCGAAAGTCACACTAGTACCTAATACAGGACAGTCTAGTTTCAGGGCATAACTTTCAGCTATACAGTTCTTCCTATGCAAATGACTGCTCTACAAACTTACATCAATTGGGGTTAAAACTGATGCCATCTTTGGAGCTGTTTTACTAAATAACCAAAACCTGGCATTTCCATACTTCTAAAGTCCTAGATCACTCTTGGTTCCTAAGAAATCTACCTTAAAAACAAAACCACACAGGTAAATTTTTAAGTTGACAAATCTGGTACTACTGAATTTGTTAATTTATCTACCCAGCTAATCTAAATCCTACAAGGCACAGGTAGGCAAAGAAAGGAGAGAACACTCCCAAGAAAATCCATTTATATTAAGAAAATTATAAATGGAAATTTCAAGCTATAAATATCATTAAGCCTTTTAAATAGAAATGTAACTAGAGAAATTGTGCTCTTTAGTTATAATAGCTATAACCCCACTGATTTGCCTACTGCTTTTTTCCCAACACGAAGGCTATTATTTCCTAAGCAAAAAGGAATTAGGACTACATAACTCAATTTTTGTTGCTGGTATTAAAACATAAATGCCTGTCCTTTACGCTATGGTAACTGGCTGCACATGTTGTTAGTGGTCATTTACTTACAAGTGGTTAAGTAGGTTCTGCTGAAATTTCAGTAACATCTCTAAGAAATATACAAACGCATTATGTGCTACAATGGGGTCCCTTTAAGTCAATTGGGGCCACTTTTCAAATTCCACAACTTCAAGGTATTCCATAAAACCCTGGCCTTGTCTAGGCAAGAGACTGTAGGCAGATTCAAAATAGCTTTTCCTTCCTTGCCAATTTCAGACATTTTACTACCTATAGGTAATAGGAGCCAAGGAAATACTGTAAAAGCTGTTATAAGATTCTCAGAGAATAAGCTATACTGAAAGGCCCTAAATTACCACTGGACAGGCAGGCCCACCCACAAACAAGAAATTTCCACTATATTCAAAAGCTGCAAAAACATTAAAAAAAATTTGTTCCTTTACTAAAGAAAAATCACAATTCACTTGCTAAAATGGCTTATACATCTCCCTGCAGAGTAGGTGAGAATGTGGCCTGTGTTAACCTGAGGATAGTTTCTTGTGCTGTACCAAGTCCAAAAGGCCCCCATACCCAGCCTTCACCAGTCAAAAAATCCCTCAAGGTGAAAACAGGACACTGCAGAATTTCATTTAAAACAAAAATCTCACTTTATTCCATCACAAAGGGAGTAAAAGACCATTTGCCTTCTTTTCTTAGCACTGTAGAAAATAAAATCTTCTTTCCTGCGGTTCTTCTTCTCATACTTGTGCTACAGCACCACAAGATTCCTTTGCATTCCTATATACACTTCCTTTAGTTTACCCTCTCCTATGACAGGGTAGCTTTCATTGCAATTGAGTTGTTTTTTTAAAACACCCACTTTAAAGTGTAATAACTTAGTAGCAAAAGTGATGATCTTGGAAAAAAAGGGGGGTGCACATTAATGCTCTCCTATAATCTGGAGGTGCTAGTTATGTTCCTCAACAGTACAGGTTTGGGGATTTTTTTTTTTTTGGTTCTTAATAAACATTACCAATTTTTCCTGAAGAGAATTTCTTTCTCATATGCCAAGTATTTTCACTTAGCATTCATTACACAGCATGCTTCAGTCAGCATGACTTCCAATTCTACCTTTTGGCAAAAGGCAGGGAGGTCAGTCCAATTGTTAAAAACTGATATACTGGATTTTGTTGAGAAACAGTGACAAAGTGCCACTCAATCTTCAAAGAATACTGTAATGAACAAAATATAGTGGTCTGTAGTATACACTATACCTGCTAGGTATGTGATTTTTCTATGCTAGTGACCAATGAACATGTCTTAAAAGTAGCTTTAGCCAATCCAGTCTTCCCAAGCACTCCTCAGAAACTCCTAACTATAGCACCTAAGTGAAGCCTTGTATATGTAAGGTTTGTATACACAAGACCAAGTCAAAACCAAATTATTTGTAGTTTGTAGGAAAGGTTCTTCCTTTTTTACTGAGGAAAAAAACAGTGGAAGCTTCATTGGAAATTCAGAATTTCCAGGGAGAAGACAAACCAACTATCTTTGAAAAGCTATCTGCCGGTGTTTAGTTCAATTCATTAATTATTAAATCCTAAACATTTTCAGGCATAAAATTGGAAGGGGTAGAGGGGAATCTACCAACTTCTCTGATGTGTTCATCAATTTCCAAAACAGCCCCTGGCAGTCTAAGCACAAAATGTCCAAATGTGCTGGCCTATTATTGTCAGAGTGTGGTTGCCAAACAAAGCAACATTTCACCATGGATTATTACACCCAAGGCGTGAAACAAGCAATTCCAACATGCAAAGTTCCCCAAGTTCCTGACATTTAGCTAATAAAAAAATTTAATGCAATTTGACAAAATTCTAGGTAGTCAAATATCAAGAACCAAGTTCAGCTGGATCACTTTATACAGAACCATCATTCTAGGTAGATAAAAATGCTATTTCTTCCAATTAGAGGTCTTTTAAAGTTCCTAAAGTCTGTTAAATCAGCTATAACTGCGATTAGGTGATATAAACAATAATGCCTAAAGATAAGCTATTTCCCATTTTCCCTACTCAGTTCACCAAATAACAGGTATCATAATCCTGAATATTAACCCTTCACTGTTCACATTTCCATACCAGTAATGCAGCTATTATAAGTAATCAAAACCAAAGCAAGATCTATTCAGAGCAATTCTCATTACCTGATATGAATCCATTATCAAAATAGGTTTAAAAAATCCATAATCAGAATTCTCATAAACGTTATCACCAGGTATCTTGTCTTGAATGCACAAGGCTTGGAATAAACATACAATGCACCGGGAACTGCTACTCTCCCCCAAATGGGCAGCAAAAGGGACAAAGGTTACTGATTTAAAGCACTAAGTACCTACATAATACCTCAAACTAACAATTTGGTAAATTATTTTCTAGCTTGTATAGGCCATTTCTCACCTTTTCTTTCCTTCCGTTTAGAAGTGAACAACTGACTCCCAGTTATTCAGTACAGAAGTCATCAATGGCACAAAATTTAAACTCTGCCCAAATGAATATCCTAATAAAGTAATCTTCAGAAGTCATTCATTCTTGTCCTAGCTCAACCTATGAAGTTAACAGACATGATTTCTTACCCATTCAGAATTCTCATCTCATGGAAAAATTAATCACAATAGAAAGATTTCAGTACTGAGTGACAAGAAGTGTCACTAAACATGAATCATGAAACTATAACCATGGCATTAAGCTTACTTTTATAGCAAATTTATACTTTCCTTAACAGCTTTTAGGATAACATTTAAGTTACAAACTACATAATCTTTTCTTAAAATAAGATCATCTTTACTAAGTGGCTACCAGATATTTTGGCCCTTATCCTGAGTATAGAAGAGGCAAAAAAAATTGCTTGAAAATACTTCTGATTTCACAACTTCCCACAGGGTAGGATGATTTAATTTGTAGCTAAAAATGACACTTTTATTTAAAAGAACTCATATGTGCTGACCTAGAAGTGATAGCTTAGATCAGGATTCAGCAAATGTTTTCTGTTAAGGGCCAGATAATGTTTTAAGCTATGTGGGCTTCATACATCTTTGTAGAATAGTTTTGTTTCTAACCCTTTCAAAACAAGCCACAGGCTGAAAATTTGCAGACCCCAGGCTTAGATATAGCACTTTATTTAAATGACACTTCCATACTATTACTTTTTTCTGTAGCCAAAATCTTGATGGCCTTAATCATTCATCTTTATACCCTAATTACTTTCTGAAATTAAACTTCTAATTCTTTAGGACACAACCTTTCACTATATTCTTCTCAGACTGAAACAGACTTATTCCAAACATTTCTCATATAAACTTCCTATTTGCATAACTTCAAAATCAAGTAAGAGTCTCAAATGGAGAGAACATATCCAAGGTAAACCCAGGCCGAGCAAAAAGTAACTGAACCCAAATTTCTGAAAGCTGACACTTAATCTATACCTCAACTATAAAACCTGACAATTTTGCAAATGTTAAATTTGGTCTGAAGCTTGATTAGAGATCATTTTACTGCAATGTCACTAGATATACTCTGCAAAGTCTAACAGTAATTAACTTCTAGGCTTTTTCCACTTGGAGATCTGGCTTTTATAAGGTTCAGACTCAATAAACACTTATTTACATGTTAATCTCAGCATAATTACAAATGTTTGGGTTAGAATCTATTTTCTCAGCCTCTATTTCAGTGGTTCTCAACCTTGGCTGCACATTAGAATCACCTGGGAATCTTTAAAATCCTGATTTCTGGGCCTCAGCCTCCGGAAATTCTGTTTCTTTGTTACTAATGTGGCCCCACCCCATAACAAAGAAACAGAATTTCCGGAGGATGAGGCCCAGAAATCAGGATTTTAAAGATTCCCAGGTGATTCTAATGTGCAGCCAAGGTTGAGAACCACTGCTCTATTTACTTTAAAAAATAGAATTACATGCACCTGAGAGCCAAGGATTTGTTATACCAGTTACTTAAATGTTGGGATAGATGTCCATAATATCAGGTTCCAGCAGTTTCACATTTCTCCTTAATTTTTTTTAACCTTTAATACTTGTTGGTTCCTTCAACACAAAGCTAGTGCTCTTAAAGATTATTTTTGAAGTCCAATATATAATATTTAGACTTCATATGCAACTCCCTAAGAATATAAGATTTTTTTTCTATTTCAGTGCAATCATCACTAGCGATTAGAAAAATAACACATTCAGAATGATTACTTAATATACTCCCTCAAAACCCATACCAAAAAATAAGCCCCAAATATATTTAAACCCTGGAGATGACGTGTATGTCCTACTTCCACTTTTAAAAGTGAGTAAAGTAACTATGTATAATACCTAGTGACACATTTAAAAATCTTTCATAACTCCACACAGGTCTCAAAACAGTATTTAAACTAAAGAAGAAATCATATTCCAATCATTTCAATGCAAACTGAAATTATCTTAAGAAATAAATTCTGGCATTACTTCCAATTAAAAGCATCCATAAAAGTTCATTAAAACATTCAATCAGCCACAATTATTATTTATGGATCTGTATCAAGGGATTTCTTTAGAGTATTATATCCGGTTTAATACTCCCTTCAAAAAACAGTGGTGCTCAGTATAACTAACCTCTGCATTCAAAATGTGATATTGCTAAGAGAAATGCCAATGTAAGGTCAGTCCTTGAAATTCATTTTGTAAGAATTCAACTTTCTAATTATAATACTCATTAAAATAGGCATCCCTCCCAGATAAACAAAATCTAAGCATAAGGTAAAAAATGAAATATGAGCATTATTTTTGGGGTGCACACACAGGCCAGAAAACACATGACGATAAATGGGTTCCTATTTGATTGTTTTTATGACTTTTAAGAAGTGAGCATGAAAATAAAATCTTTATTTTCAGTCATTACCCACCAATAAAAGAAAGTTAGGTTCACAGTTTTAGCTTGACACAAAGTGAACTAGGAGGCAAATTTACATCCATCAGATACAACTAATGGACTAACTTTTTAAAGTTCAGGCTATTGTGAAAGCTTGCAACATATCAGATATTGCTGTGTATTCTCTACTGACAAAATGCCAGCAATGGCTGACAGAGTGGAACTTGTGAAGTGTTAATAGCAGGTGTTTTCTATATGTTGCTAGAAATCAAGAGGTTTATAAGCAGGTTGCAAGTCCAGAAGTGAGTTAAGATGAAAAGTCCAAACACACTAACTTAGGAGGGATCAAGACTCCATATGGACTAATTTAACACTTGCCTCTGGGTAGCAGTTATGTTGGTAAATATAAAATTATATTAGACATTAGCACCAGTACAGAACACACTCTGCGTAAGATTCAAATCATCAGCACAAGTTATTCATCATTAAAAACCAATTACCTCCTTCCTAATAAGATGTCAAACTAGTAGGTAACTAGGTTAATAAATCTAATTCAAATGAATAACTTTTATACTGTACATCTCTTTTGGAAGTATATGGGAGAGCTAATCAGCAAACAGCAGACATTTTATGATTTTAAGATTTTCAATATTTTAAAAACTGGACATTACTACACATAGGTAGAAAATTACTGAAAATGAGTGACAAAAATTTTTTAAAGCTAAATAAAATTCCTTTTCTGCTTAAAAATAAATATGGCAGAAGATTTAAAAAAATCCTAGAAAACCTGTTTATTGATTATTCTCTACATGTTTACTAAGTGCGTTGACACTCCCATTCAGGAATCCATTATTAACCTACTTTTCTAATATAGGAAGAGGTAAAAGATACTTATTATTTTCTGTGGAACAGTCATTTATCAACTTAAGACCAAAACTAACAGCAATGTAGGAAATTAGGCATCAATAAGATTTTTGGCTTATATTTCATGGGTGGTGCTGCTGTTCCAACCTTAGAAAGTAAAGCTGTCTGCTTTCCAAATTCCAAAAAGTAACACACTCCCACATCTTACCATACTAACCAGGCCCTTTGGTTTCTTTAGAACGGGAAGGAATAAAGGATCATTGATTATGGGTATATAATTTTGATTTGGAACCTTTCACAAACAAATCATATCGAGTGGCCAGAAGCAGTTTATGAATTAACCAAATCAACTTTGTTATACCCACCCTGTTGGAGGGTGAAAAGCCCAACACCCATAAAACTATTTCACCTGACAGGATGTGTTTTTCAACAATAAGTAGTTTAAACAACTTTCTATTAGACCGTAAGGTGTCTAGTTTGGTTTTTGAAATGGGAAAGTCACACACTTTTAAATATAGTTGAAATTGTCAATCAATTATAAATTGAACTTAATGAACTATGCAGGAGCAAGGATTAATAAACCAATGTGCTTTGAATTTGTTCAAGTCTGATATTTCTGTATATAAAGATTTAGCATATAACAGCTATCATGAGAAGTGAAAAAGGATTTTCCCCAGAAATAAAAATATTAAAACTAAGTTAAAATACGTAAAGTCATTAGTATTCCACATAGCATAAATTTTGACAATCAGAGTTAACATGTCCCAGTTGACCATATGTGTAAATGCAAAGCAGGTACTAAAACGGATATTATGTCCAATATTTAAAACCGGTCTGTAACTGGGGGAACATCTAAATCCTTAATTAAAAAACACAAATGAAGTGAAAGCTTTAAACTGGTACACATGTTCACACCTATATTTCAAGTTTGGAAATGCATATTTGCAAGCAGCAATACAAAATATCCATGAAGTAATGCATAATCTCTGAAAATTATGAAAACATCCCTGCTACCAATACATTTTTAAATACAAAACTGA